GTTTTGGGTATTAGACAATTTGTCACAAACTTCTTTTTCTTTACCTTTTTTGGTCCTTTGCCAATTTTCTATCAGCTTTTCCTTTGTGATTCATACGAATTCTTTATGAGACCTGGTCCTTTTTTAATTATCTGTGCTGCAAATATCTTCTTTTCATCTATGGTTTGCTTTTTCATTTGGCACATGCGCATGCACGGGTGTGTGTACACATAAATTTCCAGTTTTAATGTCAGATTTCTCAATCTTAACCTTTATGTTTTGTATTTCTTGTATTTTGACTAATTATTCTCTTTCCCAAGTTCGTAAAGATATTTTGTATTTCTAAAATTTATACTATTTAACTTTTCACACTTAGGTCTTAATCCATCTGAAATTCATTTGTGTGCAGGTGTGAAGTTGAAATCTAACTTTACTTTTTCCCCATTTGATTAATCTATTGCCCAGCACTCTTTACGGAATCATTCATTCTTTGACCATTGATTTGAAATGTTACTTCTGTCATATATCCAATATCCAAAGCTTCATGAGTCTGTTTCTGGACTCTCTCCTCTGTTGTGCTGGTCTACCTGGTATCTCCACAGGAATTCCACACTGTCGTAACTATTAACTTTAAATCGAGTTTTTATATTCAATAAGGAAAGTCCCCTCACTTTATTCTTCTTCAGAATTATTTTTGCTATCCATAGCCCTTTGCTCTTCCATGTGTAGTTTGGATCTTCTTGGCAAGTTCCACAAAAAACCTTATCAGCATTAATAGATTAACTTGGGGAAGATTAGCCAAGTTATAATATTGAGTCTTCTAAACCATGAGCATGGCATAAATCTCCACTTACTTATATTTTCTTTTAGATATTTCAATAATATTTCATAATTTTTCCACAGAAGTCTTGTGTAATTTTTTTTGTTATATTTCTTGGTACATCTCTCAGCTTACATGTTGATGCAGCTTTTTTTCACCAGGAAAAGGGGTGAAGAATAATGCAGCCCTTGAGTTGAAACTGTGAGCCTGGCTCTAGTTTCCCATCTTGTATGGAGCACTCTTAGGTCCCATTTAACCTATAGAAATAACTCACAGCCATCAGGAATCCTAAATGCCTTTTTGATCTGCCTCCCCCAAGTTTCCTATTCTGTTTTCTAATCCAGGGAGATACATATCTTGTATTAAAGACTGACCATATCTTTTTGGTTTCCTGCTTTATTTTTTTATTGCTGTATGTTGGGAGCAATGAATGTTATTAAAATGTGAGCTCCTTGCAATGCCTTGACCAGAAGTTCCCCCTTGGCCTTACGATGTCTTCCTCCAAGGCCGTTTTGGACATCTCGACCTTTGTCCCAGAGCCTTAGAGGACACATTCTTCAGTCACGGTGCCAAATGAACGTTATACTTTATCAAGTTGTCCCCGCCCACCTTTCTCCTACTAGTAAATAGAAGCTCCGGTTAATGTCTGTCACCACTAGCAGATTGAATCTCCTGTCTCCTATGTGACACTTCCACTGGCTATCCTGACAGTTTGTTTTATCTGAGAAACCAAATAATCCAGAAATCTTTAGACAAATAATTTTTTAAGTGTCATTCCAACAATTCTCCAAGTAATTCCTTCAGTTGTATTCTCTCTGAAGATGATGAAGTGAGGCATCCCATTTCCCAGGGAGGGAAAAGGAACTAAATATGAAGCCAGAATTCCGAGGCCACTTCACTTGACTACTTTGTTTAGAGAAGCCAATTTTCCAACAATTTTTTCTGCAGTGCTTCCCAGGTCAAGTAAAAAAGATTGAACAGAGGGATCCTATTTGCAATGTTAGTTGCTGCCATCTAGTGTCCTTTGGGGAGAAATAGTGTGAGCCCTTAGGTTCTTTTCAATAGCCAGGAAGAAAGTAATTGCCTGTAGAGAGTACTTGAAGGCACCTGCTCCTTAACCCTTACCAGAACTGCAGATTGAATATCAGAACTGCAGGTACATCAATCAGACTCCTTGGTATTTACCCCAAATGAATCAAAATCTCATATCCATACAAAAGCCTACACACAGATGTTTATAGCAGCTTTATTCATAATTGCCAAAACTTGGAAGCAACCAAGATGTCCTTCAGTAGGTGAATGGGTAAATAAGTTGTGATATATCCAGAAAATAGAATAATTTAGCATTAAAAGGAAATGTGCCTATCAAGCCATGAAAAGACATGGAGGAAACATAAATGCATATTACTAAGTGAAAGAAATCAATCTGAAAAGACTGCATACTGTGTGATTCCAACTTTATGACATTCCGGAAAATGTAAAACTATAGAGATAGTCAAGGAAATACTAGTTGTCACCAGGAGTTAGGGGGGAAAAGGGGTGAGTAAATAGGCAGAACACAGAGGATTTGGAGAGTAATATAACCACTCTATATGGTACTTCAATGGCAGGTACATGTCATTATACATTTGTCCAAACCCATTAGAATGTACAACACCAAGAGTGAACCTTACTGTAAACTAAAGACTTTGGGTGATAATGATATGTCACTGTAGGTTTATCAGTTGTGATCTATGTTTCATTCTGGTGCAGGCTGTTGATAATGGAGAGGTTGTGTGCAGAAGGTATATGAGAGCTCTACTTTCTGCACAATTTTGCTGTGAACCTAAATCTGCTCAAAAAATAAAGTTTATTAATTAAACATACACACAAATATACATATATACTATTTTATTTTTGCCAGAACATAGCCCAGATCTGTTGAATCTCAATCCCCAATGAATTGCTCAGGACTTTTTTCTTTTAATTCCCAGAGTTTCTAGTGATAAATCAGGTTTAGGAACAAGTAGTGGAGGAAAAAAGCATGAAGTTTGGAACTGGACAGACCTGAGTTTGAATCCTGGAGTTGCCACTTACTAGCTATGCAACTTTGGATACGTCACTAATCTCTCTGAAATGGGGAACCATCATCGTCATCAACAGGGTTCCCATGATAATTGAATGAGATGACATATTGTGACCCTGAGCACGATGGACAATAGCGGCTGCAAAGGCATTTGGGCCTAATCACCAGAAAGAACCGAATCCTGAACCATGCCAGGGGATAGCATAAACACTTCCTGTTCTTTCCTCACCACCACCCCCCCCCCACCAAACCCCATAGTTATTGCTGATTCTCCCTCCCATTTGCCTGGATATCCCTTGATCTTTGGTCTCCATCCCCCTTCCTTTTCTACACCATTTCCCTCAGGGGTCTGACTTGACCAGCTGCTGCTTCCTCTGCCAGCAGGTCCCATTTGTTCTGCATCTTTATGTTCTGCAGAGAAGAGAGACAAACCTCTCTCTTACTAGTATTGATCACCTCTCATTAGCTCCTTGCTAAGTCACTATGTTAAAAACAAACAAAAAACTACTTCCTCACATTAGGCTGCTTTAGCAGAAAGAAATGCTGGCTGCCCTCCCGAGAACAGCCTCAGGCCCAGGGCCCAGGACCAGGAATGGTCCCATAGGGAAGTAGCAGGGGGCACATGTCGCTCTCCCACTATGAAGTGCTGGATGGCTCAGCATCATTCCCGTGTCTCGGTCTTGTCTTCTTTCACTCTGAAAGCTACACTGGCTTCAGGACTAGGCCTTGG